AAGGGGGCCTTTTCAAAAGTACATTATGGTGTCAAATACAAAAAGTTAAGAACATCAGTCCAGCAAGTAAAAACAACAGCTAAAACCATGGAAATGCTTCAAATAGTCTTTAGAGGAATAAGAAGAGACATGCCAGATTACACCAAAGAACCACCTAGTTCAATGACCAATCAGATGCATCTGGGAAGCCCACAAGCAGGAAATCATCAAAATAGCCCTCTCCTGCTTGTGAACCCCAACAACTGGCACTCAGAGGTATAGCACCTCAGATATGAGAGGTAGTAAGTGCACAACCATCACAATTGGAAGCAGAGGTGGATTTGGGGCAATGTGACCAGTTCTGCTGCACTGGGTACCAGCACCAGAGGGTTCTATAATTATAATATAGTGAATTGAGCAGAACAGAAGGTGTGGGTGCTGAATTTTGGCTTCACACAGGGCGCTGCTGAAATTTTAAAGTCCAGAGTCCACTACTGTTGGAAGCCACTGATAAGCTTATCCTTCATGAATTTATGTAATGCTCCATAACTTAACTAGGCATGACATATCAGGATGGAAGTTGCTTGCTGGCTGGAAGCTAACAGAGATGGTGCCAATGAATATGTCAAGGATCCATAATTTGGATGCCATCACAAAAAAGGTTCCCGCTTTCTGAGCATCACCTGCCTGTATCAATAGCAAGTGGCTGCCATTCTTATTCTCAGCTGCTTTAAGCCTTAACGTTAGACCTGGTTTGGATCCTGCTTCCCATCTCCAATTTGGGGAATGCAGGAATGCTGCAGACCTGTTAATTCCAGTAGAGGACTGACTTGAGCATGGACCTCAGCAAGCTTAATTACCATGTTCTCGACTGAGCCAGCAGGACTCTACAGGAACTTGGAATGCTCAAATTAGGAACATGCAAAGCAGGAACTTCCATTGGATACATAAGGGAGAAAGGGCAGGATATAAATGCAATCAATCAATCAATCAATCAATCAATCAATACACCATCAGAATGGGATATTGATAATGGATCTATACATGTTTCTCCCTACATCAATGCATAACTTGTGCAGGGAAAGCATCATGTGGTCATGATGTTCCTTTTACATTCATGTATTGTATTTGGGTTCAGATGATTAGGCAACTCATACATTAGTTGAATTTTTTTTCTAGCTTTCATTGCACAGCGTCTTCATCACCTATGACTAATTGTAATGGGTGTTGGGAACTGCAATCCATCACAATTAGTCATTACTATTAGACATTAACACTTATGAGTCTGATAAGACTCTTGTCAATGTCAGATATGCTGGTGGTATATATACAGTGGCACCTCGGGTTACATACGCTTCAGGTTACATACGCTTCAGGTTACAGACTCCGCTAACCCAGAAATAGTGCTTCAGGTTAAGGACTTTGCTTCAGGATGAGAACAGAAATTGTGCTCCAGCAGGAGGCCCCATTAGCTAAAGTGGTGCTTCAGGTTAAGAACAGTTTCAGGTTAAGTACGGACCTCCGGAACGAATTAAGTACTTAACCCGAGGTACCACTGTATTCTCATTTGCCCTTCATAGTATTTGTCTATGATTCATACTTACACACATTACATTTGATACTCAGAACATAAATGGCACACTAGAAAAAGTTAAATTCAATTAGATGTGCACTATAACATTCACTGCTTAACTTCTAGGCAATGGGACTGACAATGAATTTAGTAGTAAATAACAACAGACCTGCAGCGATTCCAAATAGTTCACATATTTCAAGCCAAGGAAAACATAATATTATTTGGGAAATCTGACAGCAGCTTGTTTCACTAAACTAAAAGATGACTGCACTGAAAAGATGAAAAGGTACTTTTATTTATTTATTTATTTACTTAAGATATCTCCCATGCCTTCAAGATATATTTCCAGAGTGGCCTGAAAAGTAGTAAGAAAGAACAACAACGGTACATTAAAAAATAACCACTCTGAAAATAATAAGATAAAATGTACAGAGTAGATACAGTTTGCTCAGCAGTAAATCCAAGATGGCAAAATCAGAATTGTTCTAATTAAAAGCTGCTAATATTCTTAAAAGCCCAGGAAATGGCCTTTTTGTCTAGCACCTAAATGATATTGAGGGGGTCTCCAGGCAGATCTCCCTGTTGAGTGGATTCCAGAAGAAAGGAGCCACCACTGAAAAGGCCACCTACCATGCTTCAGATGCTCCCTGTTCTATGTTCTTTGTAAGATGACTCCTCAAGGATGCTATTTTGGCAGAAATTACTTTAAGAAACATCCCAAAATGGCAACTGGAGTCACTGTAAGTATGAATAATTGTGTTGCAAAAAATAAGGAATTATTAGCCATGTCTACCGTCCTGGATTCATGCACAACTTGAGTGGTATGATTTCATTCCACTGCAATAATTGCCCCCTCAATCTGAAATGACAATCAACTTATTAGATGGTATGAGGGTTATCTTTATTAAAATGCAACCTGCCAACTAATCAAATAATTAAGTGTGGGCAGATGAAATTAATGAAGGTGTAGGAGAAAAGCATTCCCCCAGTCCCTGGGCATGAAAACCACTGCACTGTTAGCTCCCCAGCCAAGGACTGGGAGAAGATTCTCCCTCTTTGCGAAGTGAGTCTTGTGTAAGTGAAGCCCAGCCTGCACTCTTGGGCCCCACTGACCAGCATTCAGCTATCTAGGCTCTAAGGGCACCCTCAACCCCCAGGCTATGACTTCAGTGTGCCCCTTATGCCCATAATGCCTCTGGGTGGCAGTGGTAGAAGGTCTTGCCTTTTCTTACCTGCCCGCACTGAATGCCAAACAGCCAAATTAACCAAATCGATACAAGATGCCCTAGGGTGTGACATAGGCAAAAACAAGGAGTTCTAAGTGCTGATCAGGGGCTTCCCCCCAATTCCTACTCAGTTCCAGAAAAGGCAGGTAGTCAATTATACTATGGAGGGATGGAGGGTGGGTGCTGCAAGACAAAAAGAGAGAGAAGAGAGGGTCGCACAACCCTAAATGCTGAGCTGGACCTCCCCCCCCCCGGGTAATCCTGCCCGTCTGACAATTCTCCTTGTGGGGCAAACCAACTTGATTCTCTTTCAAGTCAAAGCAAGGATGGCAGTAAGGCAAATTCACCTCCTCGGAGAGCAGGAACGTCATTCCCACCCATTGCTTGGGTGGAGCTAATGTGGAATTGTGGTACAGTACGGTGGCTCCCATACTGCTAGAGGTATGTGTGAACGGGGCCTTAGCTACCAGTGCAACTAAAATGGTATTTTAAATAAATAACCTTAGAACACTGAGTCATGCTCATTATATTACATCCACCACATTAGTTTCTTATTGCAAGTCCCATATATTTTGCATCTCTGCATTTTTTCACCATATTGGACCAGGGTCAGCCAACAGGTTGCACTGCAGATGTTACTGGATTATAAATCGCGTTAGCCTCAGCCAACAAGGCAATGGCCGTAGAGGATAGGAGCTGTGAAACAACATTAGCTGGAGGGCACTATATTGGCTACACTTGTCTTAGATCTGTAGTATTTTATACCTTTCCTTTGAACATTGCTTTATTTGATTTTAAGTCCACCTTCCAATTTAAATCATCATTTTGAATTCTAATCTTGGCTTCTATGACCAAATCTAAGAATGTTATTGCTTCAAAACAGAGATCTTTGCATTGGACAAAATGTCCTCTTCAGCTGAGCAACTACTATCCCCCTGCATTATTCATAGCATATGTTCTGAGCTGTTTCCTTTTCACCTATTGATTGGTGTGAATCAATCATGTTTTGCAGGCATGTCCTATCTTATTGATTCTGATTCCAGCGCCTGTCTCATTTGCCACGTTCTCGAGGGTAAGTAAGCATTCTGGTTCTGCTTTTCTTTGTCAGTTGTAACAAAAAGAGATATTAATATATATATATATGGTTCCTCATGTACATTTTTCATGTAGTTCATTTTCTGTCTTGACTCTTTCCGTTGTGGGCAACAACAATTTAACAAAATAACTACAACCAAAACAAAAATTCTATAAAATGTAAAATCATTTCACACTTGTTGAAATTAGTAGGAACTAAGGAAGCAATCCCAAGTATGAAAAGCCAGCATAAGCCATAATGCCCTAAGTTAAGTTCGTGTAAAGTACACCAGGTCCCAACTGTGTTCAGCCATGGGGCTTTTTATATGGGAGGAGTGGGTGGCGCTGTGATCTAAACCACTGATCTTCTTGGGCTTGCTGATTGGAAGGTCAGCGGTTTGAATCCACGTGACGGGGTGAGCTCCTATTGCTCTGTCCCAGCAGTTCAAAAGCACATTAGTGCAAGTAGATAAATAGGAACTGCTGTGGCGGGAAGGTAAACAGCATTTCTGTGAGCTCTGGTCTCCATCACGGTGTCCCGTTGCGCCAGAAGGGGTTTAGTCATGCTGGCCACATGACCCGGAAAGCTGCCAGTGGACAAACGCCAGCTTCCTCAGCCTGAAAGCAAGATGAGTGCCACAACCCCAGAGTCACCTTTGACTGGACTTAACCGTCTAGGAGTCCTTTACCTTTTAACCTTTTTTAAAACCTTATATTACCACATAAGTAGCAATGGTAGAAAGGATCTCAGTTTTACAGTTGATCATTTCATTAGTCTTTTCAAAGTCTGGCTTTCACTGAAGTTCTTGAGATGTATTGGTTTAAGAAGAATCTTCAAATCCGCTTTCCTGTAGATGAAATCCAGTGACTGACTGCCTAGAGATATGCAGAATTCTCTATAAAACTCCAACCCCCCTGAAACCTAATCAAAGTTATTTGGAATGGAACATTGTTAGGCACTGTCCAGAGAAATGCCAATCAAGGCCAGGGCAGGGCCATGGGTGAGCCACATATGAATCAAGAACTGATATCTAGCTTCAGGATTCCTAAGGTCAGTGGCCTAAAGTCAAAGCGAATGCATGCCAAACAGATGGTGCTTCTCTGCTGACCAAGCAAAATCACAGAATTGTAGAGTTTGCAGAATCTTTCCCAACGTGGGGCTTGAACCCACAACCCTGAGATTAAGAGTCTCATGCTCTGCTGACTGAGCCATTCTTTCAGAAGGTCAGACATGACTCCAGAGACACCATCCTATCTCCCTATCACACAGGTTACTGATGCTGATGTTGTGTTATTCCATTTACTTTTGCATCTAATTGTATATGGTAGCTCACCTAGCTAGGTACTCATCATAGACTTCAAAGTTCCTGGTACAAAATCCAGAAAGCACTTTGAAAATGAAGAGCATCTTTTACAGATTAGGAATGCATAATCTCACACTGGGGAGAATGTTATCAGAGCTGGCTTTCCCCCAATGTTAAGAAGCTATTTTAATCACTGTTTTTAGGGTATATGTGATGACTGACAACTGGAATACTCCTGTGTGTTGTTGCTGGAGAGGGGACAATTAGAAAATCTACTCTTGTCTATAAAAAGAAAATAGTACAGAGGTTAAAGGTAAAGGTAAAGGTACCCCTGCCCGTACGGGCCAGTCGTGTCCGACTCTAGGGTTGTGCGCCCATCTCACTTAAGAGGCCGGGGGCCAGCGCTGTCCGGAGACACTTCTGGGTCACGTGGCCAGCGTGACGAAGCTGCTCTGGCGAGCCAGCACCAGCGCAGCACACGGAAACGCCATTTACCTTCCCGCTATAAAGCGGTACCTATTTATCTACTTGCACTTAGGGATGCTTTCGAACTGCTAGGTGGGCAGGAGCTGGGACCGAAAGACGGGAGCTCACCCTGCTGCGGGGATTCGAACTGCCGACCATGCGATCGGCAAGCCCTAGGCGCTGAGGTTTTACCCACAGCGCCACCCGCGTCCCCTAGTACAGAGGTTAGGCAGTTGCTAAAATCTACTGAACTACGTAATGTCTTTCCTCCACTCTTTGTATTAATGCAGACAGAGAACTAAATTAATCTCTTCCCCGCCCAACTCTTTTTCTTAATTGACTGCTTATATAGGCACATGTAGCTGACCTGTAGCTATTCAAGCATATGAAGGTAACATGAATCTTTTATTTCTAAACAGGTTCACCAGGCAGCCAACTTACCAGGCTCACTTAGCTAGCTGCGGAAACACCGTTTCTGCACTGGGAATATAGTGACACAAATCGTTCCCCCATTAAACATGAAAGTGAGCTCATGGGGAGGAATCAAAGAAGGAAAATGATTTCCAGAAGGATCACCAGGTTAGTTTGTTGCAGCAAAAAGAACAGAGAGTTATGTGGCACCTTTAAAGACTAACCACTGTATGGTGGCCTAAGTTTTAATGGGTTGCAATCTGTTGCATCAAATGCATGAAGTGCAGTGCTGACTTGGCAAGCACATATATACATGGGATGTGCATATACATGTGGGTGGGAAATATAGAGGAGTGAGTTCAACAAGAAATGAAATGCAAAAAAGAACAGATGGTGAAGACTACCTGACAGCAAAATAGTTACAGTAACCAATTAAGAAGGCAGAGATGGTGGTAACCCAAACATCCTGGTATTGGTTAATTAACATCTAATTAACACATTTCTTCAGCAATGATAGCACACCTCTCTGCCTTGTGATCATTTTCTTTCCGCCCAATACAGCTCTGACACTGCAAGGTGGCAGATTTGAAACAGTTAATTATGAAATATTCATGAACTGCTATGGTAGTCTCTTTGGGCAGTTAATTTTATGCAAATAGAGGATTTTCATAATGGCGTAGATTATCTTTTTTAAGCGACAATTTTCCACGCGGCCACAGGAAATGAAGGGCTTTGGCTCCCTGTGCAGAACCTTTTGGACAAATTCTCCATGAAATGCACACTGCTTAGAAATATTAATTTGAGGGAAGGAAAATGGGTGCTTCAGAGACCGCTATGAAGATTTAGCAGCAAGGTACTAGAAACCCTTCATGCTACTCTCCTACACCATGGAAAATCTTAGGATGGAAACAAACTCCAACAATGAGTTGGGAGCACTTATGAGCTCAGACTGCATACACACAATACACTCAAGGAACATTTAAAGCACATTCTACCCCACCTACCCCAGAATCCTGGGAAATGTAGTTTTGTAAGGGTGCTGGGAAGTGTAGCTCTGTGAGCAGCAAATGACAGTTTTCAGGATTGATTGATTGATTGATTGATTGATTGATTCATTCTCTCTCTCTCTCTCTCTGTTGCTTTAAATTGCTTTAAATATATAATGTGTACACAGCTACAGCTGGCCCAATATACTTTGCTATCTGAGGAAAAGCAATTAAACATGCCTCTATCCCCATTCAATTTGATGCAAAAGACATTGAATTGGTCAAGTTATTTGGCACCTGGGGATGAGAAGCCCTGCTTCTTATATTCTCTTGTAACAGAAATATATCATTCAATCAGCTGAGGGATCAATTAAACACTAACAATAAATTTAATAACTAGTATTTTGCTGTCCATTCATGATGCTACCAATCTGCTGTTTTGGGAGTGGTGTATGAGGTGCTAGAGGAGGGGCAGTACTTCTGGTGGGGGACATACTGTGCTCCTTCTCGGGTTGTTTGACCACCTTTGGTGGTCCCGACTCTGCACTCAGCTCTCACCTCTGGCCTCTAGAATCTGTCAACATGTGACAGTGACGACACCTGACTGGCTGGCTAAAGCAGGTGAAGGTAGCCAAAGGATCTCAAATCCTCAGTGCGTTAGGGACCTCCCCTGCATGCAAAGACAGGCTCTGGTGGATTAAGCAGATGAGAGCAATAGTGGGTCCAATGGTCAAGAAGGCGGTTTCTGCATGCACTGTGGAGGGAAGTGCAGGGCTGGTGGGGCTTGTCATCCTAGGAAGGTAGTCCATCTAGGAGAAGGAAAACTCTGATCCTAAACCTCCACTGCCTTGTGGGATATCTTTGGGAGAAGAAATGGCTAAGGAGTTGTTGTTGTTTCAATACTTGTGGAACTTCCAGCTGCTTCAGTTGGATTTTGTGAAAATAACAGAATGTTTAGATTGGACACTCCCCCCCTCCCTCTCTCTCATATAATTTCTTTGGATCTTGGCTATTAACTCTTTGTATTGATTGTTCAATGCATTCATGTCTTTCTTTCTTTCTTTCTTTCTTTCTTTCTTTCTTTCTTTCTTCTGCTGCCTGAGTAGGATGAACAAATATAGAGTTCCAGGAATCATTATTTGAATGGTCTCTGTAGAAGTGGATAACTGTCCAGACACTCAAAAGTGCAGCTTTAACGACTGATGTTCTTCCATTGTTATCTCATTAAACCTGCTTCAGGTGTGTGCTAGTTAAATTTAATATGGTGCCAGTGTCACACACTGATATACTCTGGGTCCACTGTATCAAAAACTGTTGCTTTTGCAGTAGTGCCCATATTGCTGCTTCCATGGCAACACCTGGGAAGATGTAATGTGTCCATCATTAAGATTCATGCTTCTCCCATAAAGTGTGTGCGTGTGCATGTGTGTGCATTGAGCCTGGAAATTTTGTATTACAGTAGTTAGATGATTTAAAGTTAGATGCTTCAGGAGAAGAACTACTGGTGGAAAAGGATGGTTATTCTAGAAATAATGTGAATCTACAATCAGCAGTATCCATAGTAGGCAGAAGGGCAAATTAAGAAGGAACTATTCTTGCATGGAAGAGCTGGACAGGTGTGCCATGCATTATAAAATCAGGACTCAAAGCTGTGCGCATGTAGATAAAAAGTCACTCATACAATTTAAAAGTTCTTGACTGTCTCAAAGTGGACTAAGTTGATTGCAGTTACTGCACTTGTATGCTGGAAGTTTGGCTCCAAAATACCCAGCCTGTCCAGTTGCGCTCAAACTTAATCACACATTAATTGGGCATCGAAATGATTAAATGCCTCTCAACCCTTGTTGTTCAAATCATTTTTAATTGTGAGACTGAGTCAAGTATCAGTGCAGGTACAATTCAGGATGCTCACAACTAATTGCAAATTGCCAAGGCCTAATAAAGTTCATGTGCAAGTGTGTATTACAGCTAAACATCAAGAAGAACTATGTATATTGATTAGTTCTTTCCGGAATAGCACTTATAATTTACTACATTTCTCCTCCCCCAGAAAGTGTTTCCAGATAATTGCTTTCCTCTAGTAAGGAATATCTGTAAGTGAGTTGGCTGGGAAACAAAGCTTGGTTCAACCAGCACTCTGCATGTGGCCCAAGACTGTGTGTGATTTGGTTCTTTTTTGAGCAAGGGGCATGAGTAGTATTGAGATAAAATGAGAGAGACCCCTGGACCACTTGATCAGACGTAGTCACTGGGGAATAGCAAGATAGGGCTGTTTTACACAGGTCGTATTTATTGGCTTCTCTCAAGTATCTAACTGGCTATTGTGGGTGACAGGATGTTGACTGGACAGGTCTGTGGTCTGATTCATTCAAGGTTGTTACGCTCTTCGATTGGGATCTGATTTGGAGCAATACAGTGGTACCTTGGTACTCTAACGGCTTGGCTTCCAAACACTGCAAACCTGGAAGTAAGTGTTCCAGTTTGTGAACATTTTTCAGAAGCCAAACGTCCAATGTGGCTTCCACTTGACTGCAGGAAGCTCCTGCAGCTAATCGGAAGCCGCGCTTTGGTTTCTGAACGGTTTCATGAGTCGAACGGACTCCTGGAATGAATTAAGTTCGACAAACAAGGTACCACTGTACTTGGGAAGGCGTAGTAAATAAAAAACCATCTCTTTATTTCCAACAGCTTTATTAAGACTTATCTTAGTGATGAACAAACCTTTCGTTGCCACCAACACATCACATTATTTTTGTTGATACAAATGTTCAGCCTTTCATAGTGAGATCTCACCACTGCTCAGTGGTAGAGCACATGCTCTGCAGCTGAAAAGTCCCAGGTTCTTTTCCAGATAAGGCTAGGAAGCACTATTATCTGAACTACTGGACTGGACTCCTGCTGCCAGTCAGTGTGGCCAATATTGAGTGAGGTGGACCAGTGGCCTACTTTGGTACAGGTATTTTACATGTTCCTATTTTAAAAGCATTGAAAGTACGAACAGATGACCAGATATAGAAAAGTATACCAGGAATATTTTCATGATAAGCAGAAAAAGTA